GGGAGAAAAAAAAAACAACCCTGTTTATACAACATAATTTGCAAATGTCCATGTACTCTGGAGGTTGATGAATGTGAAAAGAGCATAGCTTGAGGAAGGTGTGGGATGCAGAGGAGAAACTGCTACTGCTTCAGTTTCTGAGCACTCCTGAGAACGCAGCATTAGTAAATCTTGCACTCATAAAACCAAATTCATCACCGTGAGGCACGAAAAATAACGATACACTCGCAGCTTATGGCAAGGCATGAATATAAATGTTATCCTCCACAACACGCACAACCTTGAGAGAATGAAACGATCCTGATCCTATAGGTCCCTCTGTGTGCATGCATATTGTATTTGTGTGTATATGTTGACTCCTACTCGTTCTCACACTCCGGTCTGTGTAGTGTTGTCTACTGGGCCCTGGTTGTTTCCCCCTGGGAGCCCCCGCTCCTCCTCCTCTTCCCGCTCCCGCTCTACCCCTATCCCCCGTTCGATGTGTCCCACATTCCCTTCTCTGCCACACTAATTGTTTTTTGTAATTATTTTCACCCTTCTGCTATTGTGACAGGCGGCGGCTGCACTACTCTTAACAAATTAGTGCAAGAGACGACGCGCGGATACGAGAAGCAGAAGTGACTTCAGCACAGTGCTTTACATCTAAAAACACATGTAAATAATTAGTTGAGTAACTCATTAGTCAAGCAACATAAAATTGATCTGCTACTATTTTCATAATGGATTTATTAGGTACTAATGTGAGGTTTTGATGCTTCTCCAGTCCTATTGTGAAATCAAATCTTAGTATTTTGGTCAGAGAAAACTATTTAAAGACGTCATCTTGGGCTGTGTGAAATTGTGATGGCTCCTTTTCACTATTCTTCTGATATTTTATGAACTGAACAATTGATGAATATAGAAAATTGCAAACAGATTCATTGCCAATGAAAGTAATTGTGAGTTGTAGTATCTATCTTTTTAAAAGCACACATGGTAAACTCAGATTTGCAGAAATGACCTGCATAAACAAACCTCATTACTTTGTGAGAACAGTTGTAAACATGTTCACAGCACTAAGTATCGAAAAGTTTCAAAAGTTAGTTCTTAAGCTTGTTTATTTATTTTTCATTCAGGCATTTTAAAATCAGAAGCATTTTTCTCACTTTAGATTATATGTTAATTAGTTATTTAACACTGATGCATTAAGCAGTTTGGCATATTTTTAAAGGGTTTGAGAGTTTTTCTCTTCTACAGTCGTTCAGATTATAAATCCCTTTGAGAAAAATTTAGTTTTTGGCTATAAAAACAACATTTATTTGACTTTATTCAAACAAGACATTGGTCAATGTTCAATGTGCTCAGTTATGCAATCGGGGGTCTAACTGGAACTGACCTTAAAAACTTCACCAACCAACATTTAAGTGTAGAGTAGGTACAGCGTTCTTATAACTAATAAAATACACAAACAGGTGTTTAACTCAGAGTACACCTTTTTTACCTTACAGTACAAATGCACCTAAATCCAGCTCTGGCTCGTGTGTCATCCTCTGTACTGCCTGGTGCAAGAGTGCATTCTGCTTCTGTGGGGCTCTCTGCAAGGCCTCAAGGACACACTTATAATTTCAAAAAGCACGGCATTTTTCAAGACGTGTTCAGCATAAATAAACAAGACAAACAACAACATGAATACAGATGAATTAGCCGGTTAACTCCCTCGGTTGTAAATCGAAGCTTACCTACGTAAAGAAAAAGCTGCTCCTTCAAGCTTCTTTTGTTTTGTTTGGTCAAAAGTTTGGTATTGAAGGTCGTGTTTTTTGTTGTTAATATACCCAGAGGAGCGGAGCAGTTGGGGGGGGGTTGCTGCCGGCTCAGGTGTTGTCACTAAGTCTCAAGGGGAGAAACCTCAGTCACCATTCACAACAAGATGACAAATGTACCTGGCTCTGTCAAAATGCATCTACTGTTTCAGCTCGGATGTCTCCAGCTGATAATGGCACTAACACAGGTATAACTGCAAGTGAGACCTAATTCCCACCTGAACTTCAGAGTAATACTGCGGCTCTAATGCTACATCACAGCAGTGTCGCGTCACCAAAACAAGCAAGGCCTCTATTCTGTGAGTGTTTTAATGTTTGAGTCGAATCTGAACCACTTCAAGCCCAAATTAAATCACATTTATGGATGAGTAAAGCATCCACATATGGTGACTGTCGCTGCCATCTGAAGTGAGTATTACTTCAACTTATGTTAATTAATTTGTGATTCTATCATCCGTTCCCTGCAGCAAAATGAGATTGCAAATGCTAACAGTGGAATGTAATTAAGTTAAAATATAAATTAAAATGTTTCCAGGTGAGTTCACTCATTACTCCGCGATGAATACGCTTAATTTACAGGGTGACCACTGGTACAGGGGATTAATTAGCTACTGAGGAAATATACAAGTCACTGGGTGCTGCGAGTCTTTGCAGTGGGTCTGAAAAGGTTTGTTTAAGCACACAGCACAGGTAAAAGAAATACAAAATGCAGCACAAGGTGTACCTATTAGATTCATTGAGACACCACAAAGCTGAGTGGGCTTACTTTCAGAGTCAGTTTCACACAAACATATCTGACAGCGTAGTACTATAAAGTCTATGCAATGATAGTGCCTTCCCTTACTTTGCTGGTTCCTTTAGTTTATTTTCGTAAAGAAGCTGTATTAAAGTTAACTTCAATTAAACGTTTAGATGCTTACCTATAACTGCTCTCTCCTTTTATTTTGAAAACACTTTTGGAGAGTGAAGAGCACTAAAAGTGGAGAAAACTTCATAAAGTTGACCCACAAAAAGACATCATCTCTTTATTTTATAGTGTGCAGCTATGAGGTTCGAACAAGAAAATGTTCCTGTCAACTCAGACTATTATTTTGGTTATGATTATAGTCACACCTCTCATCAAACTGATCACTAAAAAGAGACACAATTTTCCGAGGGCATGAGGAAACCATTCTCACAAAGTACCTGCTACCATCGCCGCTTTATGGGAAGTTGACGGCTGTTTAACGGGCTGAGAGTAAAAGACCACAGCATAAAAATAACTCCAGTGCCAAAAGGAAAAGATGATTTCAAATGAACACACAAATAAAAAAAACACGCTCAAATAAATACATGAAATTACAAACAATGCTTCACTTCGTAATGTGGTGTTTTTACGCTTTAGCTATGCAAGCTTGATTGTTTAGTATTTTTTAAAGCCACAGTTTAAAAAAAAAGTTAAAGAAAAGTTCAAATTGGTCATACTAGTGTTTAGTATGAAGCTCAAAAACGAGGAGCTAAAACTCAACAGTTTGTGTGAAAACGAACAAATAACTGGAAGTTAAATACTTATAATTTGCTTTGATAGTTTAAATATAGTGTGTAGACCATGAATAGTCTTCTCCAGTGGTTCTCAAACTTTCTGGTGTCAAGTAATCCCAAATGAATACACATCAGGCCACCGACCCGTATTTGATGATATGTAGATAAGATAGATAATAGTTATTCCATACCGTCTATACTGTAGATTGGCAGATTAACAGTGAAGAGAGTGAAACTAATGAACAGATTAGTCATTCTTATACATTCTCCTATTGAACTAACTTTTACCCAATGGGAAAGACCTCTAAAAGACCCCTGGAGATCCCCAGACCGCAGGTTGATCACCACCGGTCTTCACTCTCCCCCCAAAAGTTAGTTTGCAACTCAATTAGTGGAGCCCCTTTATAATACAACAAAGACAGTTTAAGAGTTTTTATGGCTCAACGGGCTACTTAACGTTAAGTATAACATGTATATTCTGTAATATGAATACGCTGTAAAGGGATTAGTGCGTGTCGGGACAGTTACCCTGCTCCGAAGGTAATCCGCAAGGTTCTTTCTCGTGAAGTTGGCTGCTGCTGCAGGACTGAGTTCGTAACCTAAAGAAAACAGCGGCGAGGAAAAGAAAGTCAACACAGTTTCAGATGAATAACAAGCTGCCTTCCAGTTTGAAATCATTGTTAGATATTAGATATTTTGTAGTGAAACTGGAGACGCGCACACACACAATCATCTTTACAAAGGTTCCTCACCGTTCCTCATTTTGTAGAGTTGAACGTTTTTCTGGATGTACTCTGCAAACTGGACTGTGTCTCCTGCTTCTCCAACGCACAGCAGCAAAATCTTCTCACTCAGCTTGAACATTTTGTCATAGTCTGAAAAAACAACCAAAGAATTTAATCATTATTTAACTGTCTGCCAGAGTGAGCAACGTTGAATCAGCATTTACTTTCACTTTCACTGACAGAAGCCTGCTTGGTCACCTTATGCTAACCTTGGTTTTGATTTAAAGTGTAGAAAGTAACGTTGTTAATTAAGCAGGTGGATACTAATATAAACCTACATACAGTTATCGGCTATAGACAGAAAAAAACACCAACAAACTCTGCAAAAACACAACGCAAACAACTGATTTTATCCGCTTTAATCACTTTATCTTCCAGTAGCTACGTTTAGCATCCACAATGTGTGTGTGTGTGTTAAATTCTGGTAAAACGAGGAGTTCAGTTTCATGTCACACCACTAGATAAAAGGCTTACAAGAAAAAAAAACAGCTCTAACTTCTCATTTTCCACAAAGAGAAGTCGGTTTAATACAAAAACAAGGATCTGTTAGCGGGCTCGGTGGCTAACGCCGAGCTAACGCGTTTTCTCGCACCGTGTTTCATCTGAATGATGCTGCTGGCTGCGACGTTGTCCGCGGCAACCAGCACGAAGTCCGCTCCCTGGATCCCGATTAAATACTCCATTGTGTATAACAGGTGCGAGCCGACTGATACGAGCAGGTAAAGGGAGAAAGAAGAGGCGTTTTCTTGTAGCTTGTTGCAGATTACACAGCAAAAAGTTTGAGCTGAGCGGCGCGGACTGCTCGCGTCACCGGAAAACGTGCCGCGTCACAGGAAAACGTGGTCGCGTCACCGGAAAACGTGTTTGCGTCATTTTTTTTTTTACGCGATTCGGGCGGGTGAATTTGAACGGGGCTGTTGTTGTTGTCGTGTCGCTTTTTAAGGGGGAAATTTGCGGGTAATCGGGTATTTCACCGGCGGGAAAAGGTAAAAAAGAGTCGGTATGAACGGAGGGGACCGTCGGAACACGGTGGCGGAGTTTAACGGCTCGCAGCGGAGGCGGTCGGCGCGTTTGAGTTGTTCTCCGCGGGTTAACAGGGGCGACAACATGGCTCCTGTCGTCGTGAAACGCTCCATCACTGTCCGGAAAATAGCGCCCAGAAAAACAGTCGCCCCGTCGGAGCACAACAAGGAGAACAGGAGGAGGTCGGCGGAGGAGGAGGAGGAAGAGGAGGGCGTCCAGCAGAAGAAGCAGAAGGTCTCCACGCCGGGTCCTGTGGGCTCCTCCTCGGTCGAGAAGAAGGCCGCCATGCCCTCACCCATCCTCCCTTCCCCGCCTCCTCCCCTCCAAGAGCCGGTGGATCCAGAGGACGCGGCCTGGTCGCAGAAGGTGCGCCGGTCCTACAGCCGGCTCAGCGAGAAGTCCTTCAACAGCCCCGACTCCAGAGAGACCATGTTCGGCTTTGAGAAGCTCACAACCCCCGAGGTGATCCGGAGAGTCGCCGTATCCAAGGCGGGTCCGGAGGTTTCTGGGTCGCTGTCCGGTCTGAACTCGTTCACGTCTTTGCTTGAGGCGGAGGACTGTGGTTCGGGTCTCCCCGAGCGGGACGCGAACATCCCCGGGGTGGTCTTGGTGAAGGAGAAGAGGAGGAGGAGGAAGGTCCCGCAGATAGACGCCACGGAGCTGGACGCGATGGCTGCCAAGATGAACGCTGAGTTTGAGGAGGCAGAAGTGTTTGAGTTGGTCGTGGAGTAAATGTTAATTCATGAGAGAAAAGACTGGAGGAAGCTCTTTAAAGCATGTTTGATTTATCTCATGCTGACACAAACTCTGTCTCCGGGAGGACAACACTCATCTGTGTGCTTCATACTCTAAACATTCATGTTTTTGTATATTTCCAGCTCTGTGTATATACATTTTTGACTCTTTAAAGTTTCATTTGTTTGGTTTGAATGCTCTTAATGCTGTTTGTTTGGGTCATTATGTGGTGGTACAATGGTATAATCCCATGTGAGTTCTTCAAAAACCTAAAAAGCATGTTCTTTATTTTGGTTGTTGTTGAAACGTTTATAAAGATTTGGTTTCCTGTGATCATTTTATCTTATATTTGTCATGTTAACAGACACAAAGTTTGTTTTTAAACAACCTTTGGCTGTTTTAATTGTCTCAAACTGGTTGATTGTGCACATAAAAGGAAAATATGTGACAGTTTAATATGGATTGTGATTACATGTAGCTTTTCTTCATTGTTCACTATATTTGAATTACTCAAAAACAACATAAATGTCTGTAACCACCATAATAATAAAAATAATAATAATGTTTTACATCCGCATTTAATTGACATACAATTTCAGAATAAGACTTTTAAGGCCACAATTATTATTATTCTTGGACCATCTGTCTACATCTTTCCTTCTTTAAACATAAAAGAAAATGTGTTTTTATTTTTGCTTGCTTTGTAAATGTAAATAAATACTCCAGCAGACAGGTTCCGTTCTTTCAGTCAGTCTATTTTACAGAAATCCTTTATTCTGCACACATTAAGGTTTTGTCTGTGTTTATAGTATACAGACCGCACGTGTTACTGATAATGTTAACCTGCACATGGCTTATTAAGGTAATAGCCAAACACAACAACAACAACAACACATTCCTGAACACAACATTGGTCTCTAGTGATTTATGATGAGGCAGACTGGATTGAGTGAGTGGGCGATCTGTCTGGATTTAATGAGAGTGGTGGACAGGTAAAACGGTTTCCTCTAGAGGCTCTTGAAGGTGTAAGTGGATGTGTTGCATAATTTGCTACTAACAAGAGGAGGGAGGGGGAGGGGGGGATGTTATCAGCCCTCATGCTTGCATCTGACTGTGCAGCCTTCTATGTTAGATAAACTGGATCTGATTTATTTGCAGTGGATACACAGACAGGTGACACATTGAAGGAAAGGCTGGATAATTGATTGTAAAATAAACAGATCTTAACACAACGGGATATCTATGGGAGTCAGCACTCTCCACAACCATCATCAGAACACCAAATGAGGCCAAAATGTTCTAAAAAAGTGGTGTTAATCTAACCTAAAGAGCTAAAGAGACTCAGATATTCTACTTAAGGCCTTAAAAACATTCAGAGAGGATTCCTTAAGACCAAATCCTTTCAGGTTTGGGGGTCTGTGGTCTAATGTGCATCGACTGTCGGGGTCCATGACATTAAAAATGTTGGGAACACCTGGGTCATAACAATAACATGTGATTTCTATTTTAGTGTTTCTTAAGATGTTCTTATCCAAAAACAGCCATGACTGTCAATTTCCTATAAAATAATTTAAGTACTATCAAGGGGACAGTATAGCAACTACAGCTGGATATTAAACCTCAATATTTTTAGTGGGTTTCTGATCAAAGTGTGTCTGATTTGTATTCTTCTGACAAGTTTTACCACCATTTAGACCAGTGGCTCCGAACCTGGAGGTCAGGACACTTCTCTATAATCAATGCGTTTTATCCCATTACCTTGTTAAACCTATAACAAGAGGTCTGAATTATACATGGCAGGTCAGAAAGGTTGGGAACCACTGATTTAGACAAATTATTAGGATAATTTGCTAAGGGAAAGTTCTTGTAGAGCTAGTTTGGTTCAGACAACATTTAACATTTGAGAAGTTTTCCTTTGTGAGATGGAAAAAAAACTTTAAATTCACCATCAGTAGATGAGATTTAGAATTTGATTCTCATTAAACTGCTGCCTTGTTGCAAGATTCATGCTGGTGTTTATCTGTATTAAGTAAATCACTTATTATGATACTGTATGAGACTTTATTTATTCGTATAAGCTGCAAAAACGCACACAGAAGTGCCACACCTTCCACACCAATATAACTGTGTATTAGGTGGAATTATAATAAATGAAGATCTTTATTCAAATCTAAAAAAAAAGAGGATCCACAGTGTTGCAGATGATGCTGACAAGTATATCTACACCTGTTATACCAACTTTGGGGAAAAAAAAGAGCACGTACAACATGCTGATAGTATTTGTGAGTGAGAAAGATTCACATAGAGAGAGATAATGAGTGTGTGTCTGTGTGTGTGTTTGAGTGTGTAGCAGAGAGCGAGTAAATCCACAATTTGCTCACGCATTTTAGGGTGTGCAAAGCGTGCTCTGTTTTCTTCCTTAGGTGCCATTTCATGTTCATACCCCTTCATTTGGCATTTCAGCTCCCTGGGAAAGGAGTTTTTTTATTTTAAATTATTATTATTATTTTTTCTGCAGAGCATAACACATGCAGGGTGCTCTCTCTCTCTCTCTCTCTCTTTCTCTCTCTTTTGTATATTTTTAACAAGGTATTCATGTCTGCTTGTCACTATGACTGAAAGTTACAAACAGAGTGAGGCAGGAGGGTGTTTTGTGAGCTGTCACTGCCAGAAACAGTTATTGATTTACAATGCGGCTGCTTGTGCTGGCTCTTTTTCTTTAGAGTCTGTTCATGCTGATTTTTTTTGGGGGAGGTTGGATATTTTACACTCATATTCATGTGTTTTTTTCTTCTCCTTCTTCTGCTTCCCCTCTCTTTTCTCCCCCCCCACCCTCCACACAACCCTCCTCCACCCCTCACATTTCACTCACGGCAGTTGTCGCTGGTTCAGCTTGACTGCTTCGTTAGGGCTCATCATTTGCATTCAGATTAATTATCTAATTACCGACAAATGTCCGGCGGCCACCCCACACTCCGGCTCGTCAGCTCTCAGCCTGTAATTATTTTAATCATTTACTTTCATCTGGAGCGTTCCTGCCATACTCCTGTGTTTAGAGGCCATTCTTAATTACCCTGCCAAGACACTCTTTTCATGAGAGGGAGGGAGGGGAGAGGGGAGAGGAGAGAGGAGA